TGCGCTCCCTCGGAGCCCGCTTGCGGTGCGGGCCCCGCCGCGCAGGGCCTCGGGCTGCCGGCCCACGGCCTCTCTCCTCCTCTCCTAGGACGGGGACGTTCACAGGCACCTCTACTTGCAGGGTGTCCTCACCGGCTTCGCCGAGGTGGCCGAGAGACCCAAGTAAGTGAGGCCGGGCCTGCGCCGCTGGCAGGACCCTGCCCGCTCGCACTGGACGGGTGCCAGGCTGGTACTTGCCCGTGGGCTTCGGAGGCCGAGGAGGAGAGATAAGTTACAAGGGACAAAACGCGGATGCCTTGCAAAGCAGGTTGAGAAGCAAGATGAGATGATGTGGTCTGCAGACCTTGGCGTCCTGCTGACAAGGGCAAAACCGGGTATCTTGTGCTGTGGCCAGCTGTCTAAATACTGCCTTCTTTTGCTTGCGGCATGTGACATCATTTCACTGAGAGTTCCCAGTAAACAAATAAAACACCAGTAATATGTCTGAAAAGTGAGACTGTTAAACAGAAGGATTTAAGTGACAGGTCGTTCTCTACCCAGTCGAAACAGCAGCAGAGCTGCATGGTACAGACGGCTCCAATTAGGAAGGCTAGGTCTGGGGGAAGGTCTTCGTCTTGCTTTAAAACCTGCCCTTCTATGTAAAATTGAGGATGTAGCTTGAGGTTTTCCTACAGGTGCCTCTTAAACAGCGTTGGCACAAAGTTTTAATCCACAGCCGCAAATTTAAGGTCAAGTAGCTTGTTTCTCGCCTTGCTTCTTGGTAGTTGTTCTTAACTGAAGCATCATTTTACAGGACAATAATCTAGACGATGCTCAAGCTGCAGCAGCAAATCCATTTTCAGCAGCTGGTACTACAGTAATCCTCATTCCTTTGCACCTTCCATTTATAAAATCATGGAATTGTTCTGGTCGGAAAAGACCTTTAAGATCATTGAGTCCAACTGTTAACCCAGCACTGCCAGGTCACCACTAAACCATGTCCCTCAGCAACACATCTCTATGGCTTTGAAACCCCTCCAGGGATGGGGACTCCATCACTGCCCTGGGCAGCCTGGGCCAATGGTTTTGTTCACAAAAAATGCCACAAGCAAATACAGTCACCTGGGTGGCTATATGCAGCCTAAATTAAGTCTCTGATTGAATTTAAGGCACGGATTTCCTCATTTCCCTGCAGGGTGTCAGAATTCAGTTGCCACGTCTCCGGGTGCCGCCAGGTCTTTGACACGCTGGAGGGGTACGAGCACCACTACAACGCACTGCACAGGAATGTCTGCTCCTTCTGCAAGCGCTCCTTCCCATCGGGACACCTCCTGGACATCCACATCCTGGAGTGGCACGACTCGCTCTTCCAGGTCATGGCCGAGAAGCAGAACATGGTGGGTGGCTGTGCTCCGCTGGCCTGACT